TGTCTCCTTCCACTGGCCTTGGATCTGGAGGGGGCAGGGATGCAGAGGCAGCCAGCACCAACAGGCAATAACAAGATCTGCTTCACCTCCTAAGGGACTCCTCTCTCCTCTGGGCTGTCCCCAGCCCAGGTCCTCCTCACGCACTTGGCTCAGCCCCGCAGCCCCATTGCACCACAATGTTACACAATGCCACACACATCCTAAGACTTAGGACAGTGGAATTATGTGCAGATGGGAAGAAGCCCTGATGGAGGTCAAACTCAGCTTGCTCCCTCGAGGCTACTCAGCCCCGGGCTCACCTGGTAGCCCAGGTGATGGGGATACGATGGGTGGCATAGACAGTGAAGGCCAGGGCCCCAGAGAAATGGTAGGCCTCCTGGACCAGGTCATGCTTGCAGCTCCCGGGCACTGCCGTCTGGAAGTCTGCGTTGAATGTGTTGCAGTACAGCTCCACCAGGTCCAAGATGGCAGCGGTCAGGGCTTCCACGACCTTCTCTGGGAAGGGAAGGGGTCAGAAGAGAAAGACATAAGGCCTTCACAAGCCCGATCTGTGGCCATGGCACTGGCTGGAATGGGATGGCCTAAGACCTATGCACCCCCCAAGTGGTCCCCAAATGCTAGTCAGTCTCTAATAGCTGTGACAAAGTTCCCTGTCTGTGGTGAAATGTGAAAAAAGCAGAGGCACGTCGTGAGCTTTTCATATACTGACAGTTACACAATGTTAAATATAATCCTTATTTTTATGTATTGCCACTTACTTAGTATTAAAATGTCCTTTCTTTTAGGAAATGGTGTTAATAATTATTAGCAGTTGCTTCAATAAAGCAAAGGCCAAAAAATGTGGCCAATTAAAAGGCTGGCGCTTCTCTGTTGGTCCCCCAAAGTATTTGGGGGACATTTTACTGGTCTATGACATCCAAAAGACTGGGAATCACCATAACAATCCCAGGAATGCAAAAACAAAAAACAAACCAAAACAAAGGAATCCCAGGGATATAGGTCTGTCTTAAGGCAAAGTTCAGCTGCAAGGGCACGACAGGGGAATCCTAGAAAAATCCTAGTGAAAAATTCTTTCTCATCCTCTCCCAAGCCCCATTCTAAATTGGAAACGTAGCAAGTGTGAGCCATTGGGAGAATAATCACAATCTACGCAAGTGGGAGGCTTCCCATCTGGATGGCAGGGCTAGCGCTGCCCCGCCACCCCACTCCCACACTTCCACCCCTTCATCACCATCTCCCAGGGACACCAGGAGGAATGACTAGGAAAAATAATGAGAAAACACTTTGTCGAAAGAAATGTGCTCTCCAGCTGTGTCCACACCTCATATAGGAATGAACACACACACACACACACACACACACACGCATGCACGCGCACCAGGCGAACTCCGACACATAAATCAAGGGGGCCAGGCAGATAAAGGAATCTAGGCAGAGACTGGAGTTTTCGGCAGCCCGACTGGATAAAGATGAAGTGCAGTTCCCTTACCTCGGTTTTCCCTCACAGCCAAGACACTGGGATCCTGTTGGGGAAAAAGAAGAGGGAGGGGAGCTTCAGGGCCACAGCCTTTTTATCACAGCTGAAAGAAGGGCTTTTCACAGCTGCACTCATCTGGACCAGACTGGACTGAAATGTGAGGAGCTGAGAATCCCCAGAGAGGATAGAGTAATGGTTGGTTCCAGGTCTGTGTGATGGACAGAGTGAGCTGATGGAGGATAGAAATCGCATCCACCCTTCTGAGACATCCCAACCCTCAGGCCACTCGGCTGCAGAGCACACAGCCCCTGCTGGAGTTCCGGAGCCCCTGGCTCTAATGAGATTTTCCTCCTGGTTTGTTTTTGCACCCTGATGGATATGCAGACTGTCAGGCAATGCCTTGGTGACTGTGAATAAAGCCTTTACTGGCCTGGGCTCTTGGCAATCAGTCCCAGGTAGCTCTCCCTCAACCTCAGGAAGAGGGGACACACTTGGCATCCATTTTTGAAGAGCTCTTGTGGTTGAATTGCTTAAACATAAAAGGTGGAGGTGGAGAGAAGTCCCTTTTTAGTGAGTGAACACCTACACACCCTAGCAACAGGCAGCTCGGTTACCTGGCAGTATTCCTCTCCTCCTTCCCCATGTAGCGCCCTGGGCCCCTTTACCTTCTGAATTTTAGGCTGCATGCGGGAGGGGCAGGGGGGCAGCTGGTTGAGAGCATTGGTGATCTCAGGGGTTTCCACAGCTGCCAGGGCGTTGCAGATGGCCTTGACGGACTGGACCACCCTGTCAGCCTTCAGCGGGAAGTCCCCCTGTGGGAGGTGGCACAGTGAGGCTGGCAGGCTCTGCTCTGATGCTCTTGGTCTCCAACCCCTCCCTAACCCAGTCTTTAAAGGAAAGCGTTGGGAAGAGTAGAGATTCATGATCCTCAGGGGTAAATGTGTAATACATTTCATTTTCAAATATCCAGCATCAGCAAACAATCTCTCCCACTGAATTCAATGGGCCATGCCCACATGCCCCAATTCTTTCAGCTGTTCCCCTTGAAGCTCCTCCTATTTCTAACCTCTCTCTATCGTTAGTCTACTTACACTGTTCACATACATACAGGATCTCTCCCAGAGACCTGTGGAATTTCCAGACAGATATGTCACTTCTGCACACATGCCACAGCCATACCCTCCCCTCTGCACTTTGGCTCCTGCAGTTTCCTCATTTGGAATTCCCTTGCTTATCCAGCTCTGATTACCTATGTACATTTAAATCACAGAGGAGCTAAAATTCTACCTCCTACATAAAGCTGTCCCTGGCCAATCCGCTTCCTCTAGCACCCTCCAGGAGCTCTTAATTAATTAATTTATTACCATCCTGTTCTGTCTACTAATAGCTGTATGTTACTATTCAATTTTTCTAACAAGAGCACAAGCTCCCCAAAGGCTATGACAATTCTTACACTTCTCTACCCTCCCCCTACCCCACCCCATGGCCACTAGCGTAGGGCCAGACCAGCACAGCACAGGTGTTCAGAGAGCTTCCCCTGCATCAGTGGAAATGTTCGAGCAGAGGTTGCTAGAGAAGGGATTCTGGCAGTGACTAGACATAATAATGAACCCCTCAAAAGGGAAGAGTCTATCACTACTATAAACTGAATCAATGAGACAGGGATTGGTTTTTGTTTTTTGAGATAGGGTCTCATTCTGTCACCCAGGCTAGAGTACAGTGGTGTGATCATAGCTCACTACAGCCCCAAACTCCTGGGCTCAAGCAATCCTCCCACTTCAGCCTCCAGAGTAGCTGGAGCTACAGGTGTGTGCCACCATGACTGGCTCTAATTTTTGTATTTTTTGTAGAGATGGTGTCTTGTTATGTTGCCCAGGCTGGTCCTAAACTTTTGGGTTCGAGCAATCTTCCCACCTCAGTCTCCCGAAGGGTTAGGATTATAGGCGTGGGCCATTGCACTTGGCAAGGGATTGTTTTTGAAGACAACTGTCAGATTTTCTTCAGCTTTGTGACGTTTAAGACAAATGTGGATTCTCATGGTTTTGAGGCTTGAGGCTCCACGTGAGTCCAAGTGGAGAGAGCTGTGGCCCCTCCCTACATTTGAAACCTTCTACTTCCTGATGGTTTCCCACCTGTGATACCAGCACAACAGAACCTCTCAGACCAAAGGTTTCTGACACTGCTCATAGAATGCATGCTCCAATGAACATCAAGTGCAGCAGCTAGGGGGTGACAGCTCCAGGTCCCTTAGCTCTGGAGACATCCTACTCCAGAGAATGGGACCAGGACATAGTTCCTGACCTACTTCTATGGAGGAGCAGAATCCCTGGCGATGCACTCGTCACTGCCCATGAGCAAGGGGGATAAAAAGAAGTGCTCTGCTCCACCCAGATCCCTCCTAGTGCTGGGTGATCCCAAGAGGACTGGGGAAGGGGAGGAGGAGCTTTTGGCAGCTGGGCCAGCCCCTGGATTCGTACTCACGTCAGCCAGCAGGAAGGCATCCACCTCATTGTGGTAAGTGTCGAACAGAAGACTCAGAGCCTGCCTGGGAGTTGGGGGCAGGGGAAGACAATAGGAGAGGTCATGAAAGACCCAGTGCCCTGGGAAACCTAGTTTCTCCCTCCCTCTCCTCAGCTCACACTCTGATTTAAAAGAGGTCGCATTCTTTCCATATGTCTTGTGAAGACTGAAGGAGGGAGAGTCTTTCTACTCTGCCACTTCTCACCTGGAGAGAAGGATGGCAAAGTTCCAGAGGGAAGAGATGAAACATGCCTGGAGTGGGGATCTTCCCTGACAAGACATGTGGGCCCCAACCCCTGACACCTGCAAGAATCCCTTAGCCCTAGCAGAAACACAAGCAGGCACATCTGATGGGGTCCCTACACAGTCCTGTTTGGAGCCCATGCTCACCTGCTGATGGTCTGCTTGACGGGCCTCTCTTGGAGATGGACGAGGTAGTTCAAGGTGGAGGGGCTCTGGTCATCATTCACCTGTGCAAGAAGTGCCCTATTCAGAGAGGGCACTCAACCCATCCATCACACCTACCCCACTCCCACCTGATGTGTTCCATACTGTATTCCACCTCCCCAGCCCGGTGCAACCCTCCACCACCCTCACACCAACCGTCCGGGCCAGGTCACTGCGCACGACCTTCTGCTCCATCAGCTGTAGCCGAATGTCAATGTCAAACTTGCGGCAGTGTTGGATGTACTCATGGCTGCCCAAGGCATGCTTGCTGGTAGAGAGACAACACCATTAGCATCCTGGGGGCTCACTGGGAAGGGAAATGCATACCTTAGCCATGGGGAGAGAGATGCAGAAAGGTTTAGGTAAGAAGGTAGTTCCTGTGTTGCACCCCCTACTTTGGCTCCTAGGAAATGTCATGGTAGAGCTTAGGAAAAGAAACAGAGGTCTGTCTAAACAAAAGCCGCCTGATACACTTAACCCTTGGTCAGTACAAATATTGACTCGCCTAGGTATTTATTACCTGTGTGGTAATCGCTGGTTCACTCCAGGGCTGGGAACCATTGCAGGGAGTGGGGAAACAGAGGGACACCACAGGGAGCAGTTGCTGAAGCCCTATTCTCTGGGCCTCCATACAGGGGACAACCAGGAAGAGACATGGAGTCCACCTGTGCTCAGACTCCAATGTGGGAACTCAGAGAGTTCAACTAGGGTGCTGAGGCCAAACACAACCAACCCACCGAGCCTCCAGGTTAGTGTCCCCATTCAAGTTCTTTTTCTTTTTCTTTTTTTGACACAGAGTCTCACCCAGGCTGGAGTGCAATGGTGCGATCTCAGCTCACTGCAACCTCCACCTCCTGGGTTCAAGCAATTCTCCTGTCTCAACCCCTCAAGTAGCTGGGATTACAGGCACCTGCCACTATGCCCAGCTAATTTTTGTATTTCTAGTAGAGACAGGGTTTCACCATCTTGGCCAGGCTGGTCTTGAACTCCTAACCTCGTGATCCACCTGCCGTGGCCTCCCAAAGTGCTAGGATTACAGGCTTGAGCCACCGCGCCCGGCCTCAAGTTCTTTTTCTACCTTCCCTCTGTGGCCCCTGCTGCTTGTGAATAACCTTAAAAATTTCTGACTCCTTGAAAAGTCCCAAATGCATGCCAGTCCCACCTACTCCAGCACCCATAGGTGAGACTCCGCATTTCAGAGAGGAGGGCCGAGGAGTCCCTCTGATCCAACTTCTTCCTCTTTCCCAAATCACACCTTTATCAGCAAGGAAACCCAAGAAGAGGAGCAGAGGGAGAACTACCTCCAGGCCGGCACTGCAGGCCTGGACCTCAAGAGCTGGGTAACAGAAGCCGGAAAAGGACTTCCTTCCTCAGCAGAGCTGGGAATCTAGGCCAGAAATGGAGAGGAGAGGACAGGAGCATAAGGGGAGAGGTATGTGCAGAAGCTGGGGGAGGTGCAGGGCCCCAGGGCCGTCTAGATCTGGTAAAGGCTTGAGGGAGGGGTTCTCCACATTCTGAGAAGACCAAGCCTCTGATCTCCGCCCTTTCAGATCTAAGACTGAAGTGCAGCCAAAACCTGGAGGTGGTGAGGCTGGGCCTGGTGGGTGAGCCTGGGAGGAAGGAAGAGTGTGCTGGGGCTGGGGTAGGTGGCAGGAAACCCAGCCCTCCCATGGGACTGCCTCCAGGTTCTTATCTGAGAGCAGCCTGCATCCTGAACCCACTCACCCCTTCAGTATCAGCCCCTCCTAATTTTCGGGGGTAGAAAATCTGAGAGCTTCCTTGGGAACTAGCAGATTTCTGGAACCCCCCCGAGGGTCCTTTCTACCCTCACCCCAGCCTGGGTTGTCATGTGCTGGGGGCCTGGGGGCTGGGCCAGGAACCAGCACTGTGCTTTTCTGTTGGGCAGGAGTGGGGTTCCCAGACCAGGACTCATGGACACAGGTCCCCTGGGGGCCTGGCTTGATCTTCTCTGTGGAAGGCCTTCCTCTCCACACATTCAAGTCAGAGCACAAGGGGTGTGACCTGAGGACCACTGACCCTGTCCCACCTCACTGAGAACATTTTACCTGAGTCTTGGCAGGAAGGTAGAACCTGACAGTTCCCACTACCTCTGGACCCAGGGGCTCCAGCATTTGGGGTGCTGCAAGGGAAATGGCAGTATCTGGCCAGCCCAGAGCCCCATGACTTTTTTCTGTGGGCTGCTCCTTCCCTGCTGGTATTTACTGATTGCCCACTGGGTCATTCTCACATTTCACCCTCCCTGCAACTTACAGAGGGCCCTGAGCATCAGACGTCACAACTAGGAAGTGGCAAATCAGAATTCACACCTGTGTAATGGTGTCAGCAGGAGCTTCAACTTACCCACTATATCCCCTTGATCCCTTCTAACAGTGGCAGGCCACCTGGTGCTCTCTCTGCCAGGTGACCCTGCCTCTAGGACCCTTCCTGTTCCTCTAGGGGAAAGTGCATACATAATGGAGTTTAGAGGTGGAGCACATTTGAATGGCACCCTGGAGTTGTACCATACAGGGCCCTGCTTCTTTCTTTTCCCTTAGCTTCCAGATGAGGAAGCAGAGGCCAGAAAGGACCCAACAATATCCCTAAATTTGAAGAAATAAGCCCAGATAGCTGGGCACAGCAGCTCACACCCATAATCCCAGCACTTTGGGAGGCTGAGGTGGGCAGATCACCTGAGGTCAGGAGTTTAAGACCAGTCTGACCAACATGGTGAAACTCCTTCTCTATCAACAATACAAAAATTAGCCAGGCATGGTGTCCCTCATGCCTGTAATCCCAGCTACTCAGGAGGCTGAGGCATGAGAATCACTTGAGCCTGGAGATGGAGGCTGCAGTTAGAGATGGTGCCACTGCCCTCCAGCCTGGGTGACAAAGAGAGACTCTGTCTCAAAAAAAGAAAGAAGCCCAGGAATGAAACTTCCATCCTGACTGCCAAATCCTATGCTCTAACCATAGATCAACCATCCTTGCCTCTAGACCTGGATATAAGAGAGAGAAAAGGCAAGTAGTGGCACTTATAGGACACTCCGAAGAAGTGAGAGACAGATCTCTCCTTTCTCGATTCTGAAGACCTGCTTCCTCCAAGTGGACAGAGGTCGGGGGGCAGGAGCTGCCCTGAAGCCTAAGGGAGAAAAGCAGAGCTTATCTGTCTGCTGCCACACTGCTATACCATCTGAGAGGTAGTAACCTTGCCTCCCTTCCACCCCAGCCCTCCAGAACCCAGGGTAGTGGAAAGGGGGTTGCCTCAGCTGGTCCACATCAGACTTTCCAGAGAGGCTGCTTTCCACAGAGGGCACTGGATGAAAAGGAGCTGGAGGCGTGCTTTTGGGAGGAGGAAAACTAGCTGCACAGGCCAGCAGGGGAAAAGGCAGGAGAATGGGGAGAGACTTTCTCCCCTGAGCTCCACAAGAGCACTTCTGCCATAAAAACACCACACATAATCTAGAGCAGGAGATATAGCGCTACCATATAGTCTCCCCAAGCCCACCCCTCCCCATAAATACACACATCTCTCCATAGGCAGATATGACCTAGTCTTTGCCTAATCCCAGCTCCAAACTCTTTCCACAGCAGATTTGCCTCAGGCTGTCAGCCAACCCTGCTGGAAGACAGAGCTCCTGGGGAAAGTGTGACGTGGCCAAGTGTGCCCAGAAAGCGGGAGTCTTGACTGTGGGACTGGGGCGGAGCTGCCAGGCCGGTCCCAGCACCAATCCCAAGAAGCCCCCTCACAATCCTATTACCCAGAAGGCAGGGGCTACCTCCACCAATCCACTCACCTCTGTAGGAACTCCTCCAGCCCACAGGGCTTCAACACAAAGTCACCCACGTCCACATTCCTCAGGTCATCATGGGTGTAGCACAGGGTCTGGTAGATAAGCAGGTCTACAGTGGAGGAACCTGTGAAGGGTAAGGCAGGGGGAGCAAAGATGACGGGTGTTGGGGCTGTTTGGGCTCAGTTTCCCTACCCTGATCCCCCTGCCCAGCTAAGTGTTCTCCAGCACCATCACCAATCAGATAAAGCATGCAAATAGTTCAGGGTTGGGGAAAGTGACTGCACTAGAAATCTGGCCCTAAAGCCAGCCCCGCAAAGGAGCATCCTCACTGCCCTTCATCTGGGTCACAAGATGAGACAGGAATAGGATCCAAAACACAGTCATCCCCGCCCCACTTCAAGAGATGCTCACACCCTCTCCCTTATCACTAACTTACAGTTGCAGGTAAAAGTGAGTGCCTCTTGAAGGCTGTCACACAACACCGTCACCTTCAGGTTGACCTCATCCCCCAGGTGCTCTGGGCTAGGGGTGACAGCACTCCAGACATAGCCAGTAAGGGAGTAGTCTTGGATGTCAGAGCCAGATCGAAGGCTGCACAGGAAGAAAAAAAACCCTCACTGGGCCTTTAGAAGAGAGTAGTCAAGAAGAGGTCTGCTGGAGCCCTCATGCCTGAACTCAAGAGCCCCTCTGTCCCCACTCAGCCCAGTCCTCCACATTTGCAGGCCAGGATGGGGACAGTGGGATCACAACTCTGAGAAACCCCCTTCCCTACACTTCTTTTATAATTGCAAAATGTTTCCCACCATTGAACAGTGCAAATAGTTCTAAAATGACAAAGCTTTCCATGCTAAGTTTAATGGAAAATTCTTTTATGAATCCATTTCCTTTCTCTTTTAGTTCCAGATAACACTCTTTTTTTTTTTTTTTTTTTTTAATTGAGACGGAGTTTCGCTCTTGTTACCCAGGCTGGAGTGCAATGGCGCAATCTCGGCTCACTGCAACCTCCACCTCCTGGGTTCAGGCAATTTTCCTGCCTCAGCCTCCTGAGTAGCCGGGATTACAGGCACACGCCACCATGCCCAGCTAATTTTTTGTATTTTTAGTAGAGACAGGGTTTCACCATGTTGACCAGGATGGTCTTGATCTCTTGACCTTGTGATCCACCGCCTCGGCCTCCCAAAGTGCTGGGCTTACAGGCTTGAGCCACCGCGCCCAGCCTTTTCCGGATAACACTTTTATTGCCAACTGGGGTGCATTTGCTCCTAAGGGCAACTGAGGGTCAGACCCTAGAGTGGTCAGGATACCTTGACCATTCAATGGAGGTTTCATAAATTTTGTTAAAAAATGTGAAAAGTTGCTGGGCATCGTGGCTCATGCCTGTAATCCCAGCACTTTGGGAGGCTGAGGTAGGCAGATCACGAGATCAGGAGTTTGAGACCAGTCTGACCAACATAGTGAAACCCCATCTCTACTAAAAATACACAAAATTAGCTAGGCATGGTGCTGGGCACCTGTAATCCCAGCTACTCAGGAGGCTGAGGCAGGAGAATCGCTTGAACCCGGGAGACAGAGGTTGCAGCGAGCCGAGATCATGCCACTGCACTCCAGCCCAGGCAACAGAGCGAGACTCCAACTCAAAAAAAAAGTGAAACTTCTAAGATATCAAAAACCCTACAGACACTTGTTGTAGGAAGCATTTCGTAGGTGTGAATTGAGATTTATTTAATTATGGTGCTTCTTCCCTCCTAAAGAAAGCTCTGAAATGAATGGCCCTCCTCCCCATCCCCCATAGCCCTCCCATATCCCCTGCCCCATTCTCTATCTCTTACATATCCAGCATGTGGCAAAATGCAGCAACCTCTTCATCTCTCTCTTCTGAGACCTCAAACAATTCATGGCCATTGGCAACCGTGTGGGACCGGGAGCCCACCTTTAAGAGAAGAGCAGCCAACTCAGTGCCTTTCCCCCACATGGTGTCCCCTCCCTATGAGATACTCCCAGACCTAAACTTAAATTCTAGATGACAAGAATTGTTAGTCACTCAACATTCAATGAAAGGGGCACAAGAACAAATGGGACATCCATGAATATATGTATCTGCTGTCCTAGGAGACCAGGAAGGAGCCAGGTTGAGGGAAGAGGTGAAGCTCTCTGGCTGAGTACTGAAGCCTGGGTGGGATGGATAAGAATGTGGCCAAAGCCACTTCAGGACAGTCTGATAAGTATGAGGCAACTGGTAAGGCCGTTCAGTACTGTCGGGCCGCTCCTGCAGCAAGGGCTTTCGAAGAATCCTCTCAGAGGCGTGACGGGGAGCAGAGCAGGAGCCATTTTTCCTAACCTCTCCACTGAGGCTAGAGCAGGTGGGCTGCTCAAATGGTGCCCAGGGAAGATTGGCCCCGGTCAAAGGCCTCCACATCCACAAGCCCCAGGGACCCAAAGCAGAGAGAGACCAAGAGCCCTTAGATAGAAGAGATGATTCAGACACATGTGCCTTCTGGGTAAATGCTATTTGAGGAAGAAAGCATCAAAGCGGTGGTCTGGGCAGGGGAAGACCTGGTAGAAGCTTGGCTCCTGGCTTCCGAGTCAGCCGGCTCTGGATGGCTGGAATGTCAGGGAGCCTGCCTTGGCCCCATTTCCTCTCTCAAACTTTATGTATGGTGGTGAGATTCTCAGACAAGGTCTCAAACTGTCTCCCATCCCAGAGCTGTTTTCAGTCACCCAGGAAGGTTCCTAACGAAGCCCCCAGCAAGGCCCGTAGCCCAGCTTTAGGGAAAAGGAAGTGAGGGGGAGGGAGAGCCAGTGCATGACATGTTTCTGCCTGACAGGCCTGCTCAGGGCAGCCTAGGAGGCCACGCCAGGAAATGAGGCTTCAGCTCAGATAGAGACTCAGCCACCATGGTTCCAACAGCTGTTTCCGGGGGGAGTCTGGCTCCAGCCTGTGCACATCACAACACCCCACACCTCTCATCCAACCCACCGGTTACCCTCAAGTCCTCCCTGCCTCTTGGGGCAGATGGCAGCAACTGAGTTCCTCATTTGAATATCCAGACTGTTTCCTCTGGTTGACCCTCTCTTGTCAGCCCTGTTCCCCTGGGTGTAATGGGTGGCAGGGGCGGGGGTGCGTAGAGGGAGGGCAGCATTGGGGACAGTTGGCATGTGAGGCCCCAGCTCTGCCAAGTTCGTGCCTGTGTCCTAGTCAAAACAATAGTACCACTGTCAGCAATTAACCCACGAGAGGGAAAGAGAGACGAATAAAAAAAGAAAGAGAGAGAGAAACAGTAGGGGGAGGGAAGAGAAGGCAAGAGAGGGAGAGAACAGAGCAGCCACTGAAGGGCACTGTCATGCCCTTTCTGTACCACTCACTGGCACCATAAGAAAACAAAAGCCACTTACGTTTGCCCGGCTGGCAGGCCCTGATGGCATCGCCCGATGCTGGCTGGGGGAGTCTGCCGGGCAGAGGCTGGCAGCGGGGGTATCAGGCTGGCATTGAGAGCCAGCCATTTCCAGAGCTGGCTCCACCGGCCTGGGATAAGGAGGTTCCTTCTGGCTGGAAGCCCGGCGGAAGCGGGGCGGTGGTACAGGCCGAGGGCCCAAGGGGTCCCCCATCCCGGCAGGCTGAGCCCCTGCACCAAGCTGACTTGGGGAGGACCAAGGCCGCATTTCCCCACTCAGACCTGGCAAGAGCTTTTTGCTTTGTGCCCACTTCTTCAAGGAGATTCTGGGCTGAGCTCTGTCTCAGAACTCTGATGACACGCAGGGGATGGGGGAGGGTGAGGAACTGAGGGAGGCAGGAGAGCAAGCGACAGAGGTGACCACCTACCAGGGTGCCCTGACTCAGTGAGCAGGCCCAGCTGGGTGTGAGGATCTCAGAGCTGGGAACAGGAATCTCCCAGTCCCTATAAATAGCGGAAACAGCCCCACCTCTCAGAGCAGGGCCTTTAAAAATCCCTGAGCTCTAGGGATGTGCCTTATTCCAGGACCTGATTCAGCTTTTGGGGTTACTCTCTTAGCAGAAACAGAGGAAGTCCCTGTTTCTAAAGGACTGTGTAGCTCTTCAGAGTTGGGAAGGATCCCAAAGGCTAGATACAAGGTGACAAGGTGGGAAAACCCCAGTGCCCTTAAACAATGGCTAAGGAGGAAACCGGATGGAATGAAGTGGAGTGTTAAGCTGTCACAGAAGGCATCGGCCGGCCAGGTGCAGTGGTTCGTGCCTGTAATCCCAGCACTTTGGGAGGCCAAGGCAGGCAGATCACCTGAGGTCAGGAGTTTGAGACCGGCCTGGCCAATGTGGCAAAACCCCGTCTCTACTAAAAATACAAAAATTAGCCAGGCATGGTGGTGCGCACCTGTGATAGCAGCTACTCAGGAGGCTGAGGCAGGGGAATTGCTTGAACCCAGGAGGCAGAGGCTGTTGTTAGCCAAGATCACTCCACTGCACTCCAGCCTGGGCAACAGAGAGAGACTCTGTCTCAAAAAAGGAAAAAAAAAAAAGAAGGCATCAGCCATGGGGGTATCTCTTGACTCCTTGGACCCAGGATGAAATACAAAGCCTTCTGGTCCCACCTGGGAGATGCTGCTGAAGCTCCCCTAAACCATAAAAAAATCAGAACTACCCTGGAACCTGCCTGGGGGCTTTGACCTAGATAGTTCTGCTATTTTACACTATATTCTGCAAAAAAATAAAATTATTTGTCATACTGCATACTTTTTCTAAATATTTTCATTGTGAGAAGAGAATGGGTAGAGATGAATAATGCAAGGGTCGCACGACAGTGTGAATGTAGATAATGCCACTGAACGCATGCTTACAGATGGTGACCGTGCCGAATTTTATGCAATGTTATTTCATCACAATAAATAGCAGAGCGGGGAGAGAGAGAGAAAGGGGGAGAGAAAGGGCTTAGGAATGAGAGAGGCCAGGGCTGAATGCTGGCTCTGCTATTGCTTGCTGTGTGTCTTTGGACTATCAGGAAGGGTTGTTGTGGAGATCTGGACCAAGGTCTGGTATTC